ACGAAAAGTTTTGATACAAATTTTGAGGCGGTATACAACGCTACGAAATTGAATACATTTGAATAAACGTCAGAAAAAGAAGAGAAGCTAATATGGAAATTTTTGTTAAGAAAACCGCGATACTTTCTGTACAAACTTTCAAGAAAAAAAGAGAAAAACGACGCGTCTGAACTAAATTTTAGAAAATAAAAACCATATTTTTCGAAATAAGTAATTTGAGTGCGAATTGAACCTTATTATTCACGAAGTCGCCAGTATATTACTTAGTCTTCTCATGGGATGGTTGCAACAAAAACAATTTTAATAACGTGCAAATTTGTTGCAATTAAAATCATTAAAAAACGCATATTTCCATGTTTCATGTTTGCGTTAAGTATTTTGATTATCTCCCGTGACTCTTTGTGGCAACAACGAAATGTCGCGCAGCGCAAAGTGAATGTCCACAAGTTTAACGAAGACACGAACAGTTTTGTATCCCCTTGGCGATGCAGAATCGAATGAATTAAGCATAAGCGCTTCTGTTTTGCCTCGGTGTCTTCAGCAATGGTTGCTGATCAGTGAATGTGAAGTTGTAATCTCATATTCACAAGATGTAGTCAGTGATTTGCAGCGAATAATTGCTGGTATTGTTGGCATTGTTGTTACACGTATTGTGAATGTGAACTTGACCGTGAAAGTTGTTGGGAACGGGTTGTCTGTCCGACCGACTGAATGGTTGGCACACGCCGATCGTGCTCGGCCGAATAATGACAAAACGGTATGAATTGAGAGTGGGGAAAAGAGAGAGAGCGAGCGTTCAACTAGTGGAACGGTAAATATGACGTCAAAAAGGTATTGTAAGTACAAAAACAAGAAATGCTTGGACGAGCTACTTACTTAGCAATGATCTCTTAAAACTTTTTAGACAGGAAGTGAACAGTTTCATTGCATTACTGAGCAACTTAATTATGTGGTTGGTTCAGTTAATTATTGAATATTTTATGCGCTTAATTCAATAAGGATGAGTAAACAAAAAATGGGTAATGTCGGGAAAGGAAAACATACTTGACTTTATTACAGCGAAAAAGGCTGAAAAAGGTCAACAACAAAATCCGAAATTAAAATAAATTGGAGTTTTCTCTTCTAAGTGCCAAGCAATTATTAAGTTTATAAAATTAGTTTATTGCATTAATTGTTAGCTTTAACTACGTTGAAGTTTTACATGCAAATCAAGCAAAAGCGAAAAATTAAATACAATCAAATAAAAGAAAACATTAGAGACAAGAGAAGAATATAATTAAAACAAATACTTGTATTTGGATCGAATTTTTTCTCGTAAGATTGAAGAAATAACATTTCACAAACTCTGAGCCGCATATTTGCGACGGTTATAAAAAGTAAATGCATATTGTGCATCCATTGAGTAGAACGCCATCGCCATGGCACACCGACAAATGTCACGAAAATGACACAGCAACTGAATGAGCAACTGCCCACCGCTAAACTACAGTAGCTACGTGTTAGATCTAAGATTCTGGTGTCCAGATGTGCAACTTTAAGAGAAGTGTAACCAATGATGGCAAATGAAGCAAATAAGACAAACACTTTCAACGGGGCATGCAAGGCCAAATTTCATGCGAGTCATGCCATTGTAACAAGATTATGCGGTGGTACACGCAAAAAATTTGCTACGAAATAAAATGTCGGCCAAAATTTACAATAAGTAAGCAATCTTAATCTTCACAGAGTTCTGTTGTTCTGAGTACACATGTATCCAACTGTTGAATGTTGGAGAGCCTCGTTTTGTTGTGACATGTAAATCGATCGTTTGAAATCCTGTTCGGAAATCTACTTCTACGTCAATATTCATGGTATCTTTGTTACCTTCTCTATATTCAATATTGTCCGATACTCAGTGTCATCAGTTTTGGTTTTTCAATTACATCTTCACTTTTCCCTCGACGCGTGAACTTTGAAGGAATGTCTCTTTACTAGTATAACAGGAAAAAATAATAGCATTTAGGTGTACTATTATGAATTGAGGACGAAAACTTAACCCCGAGCAACCCCGAATGAAATAGCGGGGCTTATTCGATACTATGCGAGGGACATGGTTTGAAACTTTACTAAACATTAAACACTCGCTTTTGCTGACTGACGATTTTTAATCCGGCAGTCTAACAAAAGAAAGCAGCTTGCGAAGTATACTCGTAAATAATATTAAGAATTTTCAGTATGTTAGAATTAAGTTGTATTATCTATTATTTTTTTCGCAATGCTGGCCATTAATGGCGTGCCTGTATTGGACAATAACAAAGTTGCTGTCAGGCAGCAATAAATGTTGCTGGTTGCCACAAATTGCTCGTTGGGCGACAATTCTTTGAAAATATTTGCTGGCACAGATGGACAATGGCACAGACAAATAATGTATGGAATTTACAATGTTTATATATGTGTATATAATACCTATTTATTTGGATATGTGTATATACATAGGTTGGTATGCAAGTAACTTGAAGACATGCAATAAAATCAATTGAAATTCTTAGCCATCCATTAAACAAATTCTGCGATACAAGAAGGTTTTGGCTGGTCTTCGCTTTAACGATCGGTTAATAAAATAGCAATTAAAAAAAAATAGGCGCTCGTATGCAAAAGTATGTACACGAAATAACAATAAAAACTTTAACTTCGGTTGCAACAAAGCTATTATACATTTCACAAATACAAACGATTCTATAAAAGAGCTTTATTTTACATTTTAAATTTTTAGTTGATACTTCCATTAGAAATTGTAATTAATTGCTTTTTATTTTCGATTATAATTTATTTTTCAAAATATTAATTTTTTTTTTGTAATTTTTGATATTTTTTTTCATAATTTTTTAAAATTATTTCTTTATTAACATTTATATTTAGTTTATTTTTTAATATTTAACTGTTTCAAAAATTTATTACATTGTTTCGCTTATTTAGTATTTTTATTCTTATTTTGTTCAATTCATGTTCCATTAATATCTTTAGCTGAGTTTATACAACTTAATCTTGATTTAGTATATTTACAGAGAAATAGTAAACTGCAATTTTCTAGGGGGCATAATTTGTAAACGCAATCGTGTTTAGCTATTTCAGAAATTTTCACGCTCGTTTTCAAATAGTCAAGAATTATGCACAGAATATTAAATGCTCAATAAATGACAGAGAATTGATTGGCGCCTTAAGGTGAATAATTCAAAACCAGTGCTTTAAAATAAGGCGTTCCTTAGCTTGTCGGTTGTTTTCTGGATACTTCAATATATGTAAATAAAAATATATTTGAAATGGTTTTGAAACGAATGTGGTTTTTGAATGCCCCCCATATTTTTGATGAGTTCGATTATGAACATATCTTTGTCCCGTTATAATACATTAATTTATTTCTTATAAATTAAAAAAAAATAATTTAAAGTTTTAATATTTGTCGAAACCGTATATAAAATGAATTAATAAAAAAATAATAAATATAACATATGAATAGAAAAACTTCTAATTAGACATGATGAATTTATCAAATTTCTTCGATGTATCAATTTATTCAACTTTTCAAAAATTACTTCATAACCAAAACAAAAAAACTAGTTTAATGAAAACTGGAAAGAAACCAAATACAAATGTTTATAATTATCACAAGAAAAAAGAATAAACTTGATTATGCCTAAACTCAAAGATAGTTGCTCGAACTTATGTTATAAGCAACAACATTTCATCTGCTCACATCATCTCAGACTTTTCATAAAAATATGCCAAATATTGTGAAACACTATATTTTAATGAGATCAAAGATGAACACAACACTGGTACAGTAAGTTAATTATACATTCAGATATACATATATATGTATGTGAGGTACAGAAACTAGGTTATAAATTAATGTAAACAAATGAAATAGAACAAACTTTTAAGTTCGTTAGAATTCGGGACAAAGGTAGGTAAATTTTAAATATATAGGTAAAGGTAGTTTGGGATTTGAATTACATATTTTAGATTATTTTTTGTTACTTATTTCATTTGGTACAGTATTTTCCAACTTTTCCAACTGTTGAAAATCGTGCCCTCTACCTAAAAGTTGGGGTTAATTTCAAAGATAATTTCTTCTTAAGAATCAAGTACAAATATATTATTTTTCAAGTTTTGAACCGGCACATCTAATAACTGTACTGCGCAAAGTACTTAATGAGGTGTGCAAATATAAATGAAGAATTCGACACAACTTCTTATGTATAACTTCAGAGAACTTACAAACAAGGTACTACTAAATTCGTATGAAAAGCTGTCAAGGTAACTATTATTATACCATCTAAGTAACTGCGACGAAGAAGATATCTTGGACTATATTGATATAGAATTTCTGATTCTGAAGCGCAAACATACACCCTAGATAAGCAATTATACCCAAAACATCACTAAACCCTCATAAGAGTATTGCGCTCTAAAAAATATCATTTATTTATTTATTAYATCTATTAGATCTTAAGAAATCCAACAGTTCTCTTTCTTCAATAGTATAACCGAAGAACGTTACCTGATACAGACTTTCTACTACCTCTTCTACTCTTTAGTACCCATTCAGCAGCTCATCGTCAAGAAAATAACAAAAATGAATATAAGTAAGTGAAGATGTTCTGGGCCTTCAAAAATTGGTTTTACTAATATATAAAACTACTGTAGCAGATCCAAAAAGTTAACCAGGTTGAATTGTTAGAAAAGCTGTCTATAAGTTATTCTGTTGAAATGTAGCGTTGTTCTTACGTTTGGGTATAAAAACTCGCGTGTCACTGCCTTTACGACCTCCAAAGCGTCGCAGCCGTCTTGTCACACACTACCAGTTTTTTGTGATTTTTCGCGCCAGCAAAACGAATTAATTGGCAATCTTACAGCCAGAAGAAAAATAAAAAACCATCGCCGAAATGAAACAACGTTCTGAAAAGTGAAAAAGCAACATACTAAGTTGACGAAGTTGTAAGTCAGCCGATCGCCAGCTGGTAGCAGTGTTCTTTAAACTGAGCCTGCGTCCGTTATCGGGCCGCATTTAGCGTCAGAACGTGTGACGAAGTGGTTGCCTGCTTTCGACTTTTGGCCGCTTGAATAGCTTGAATGCTGCTTTGCTAAACTCTGTACTAAATCGTAATAACGCGCAATCAATTAGCTCTTACGTAAATCAGGCAGGAACACAAGCCCGGCCAGCCTGATGTGCTGACGAAAAGATTTATTTAGAGTTACAGTGCATTTAGCTTTATGTGATGAGAGTGATTTAGTGCTTAAAAAGATAAACAAATAATTGGTGAAAGCAAAGTACTACACTGGCTTTCAAACTGTGTTAATTTTATTTATTTTTTAATTAGTAAAAAAACCAAAATGTCACAAAATTTAACAGTGTTTACATTTGTGTTCACGATCCTTTGTGGTGAGCATTAGAAATAGTAAAAATGCAACAACAAATAATACAGAGTTATTATCATTTTCACATCTTCTTTTCTTCAGCACTGGCGAATTCGAAATTCTCCTATGAACGCGGCAATTGTGATATTTTAATATCGAGCGCTGTACGCGAGATTTTAACGAATGAAATGCGCGCACAGCTGGATCCTTCGTGGCGTGCGTCGCGCATCAAACGCGTACGTTACGAGCTCTACACGCCACAGAATCCTTATAAGGCGCAAGTTTTGTGCTGCGTGCGTCGTTTTTCAATGCCAAATTGCCGGTTAGGTGCGTAAATGGTGTGAACATAAATAAGAAAAACTTAAGTGAAAGTAAGTAAGGGCTAAGCTTGGTTGCGAGCGAACATCTTATACTTCTTCAGCTTGCAGGAATCAAAGCAAGGGAAATATGTTTAGGTGGAAACCGTTACTGTTCATTAAGGTAGCTCACATACAAACAAGAATCATGTAGAGCAAAGTCTGTCGGATGTTCGAAAATTCTGATATATGTAGTTATATGGGCACTAGCCAAAATTTCATCTATTTCATTCACCATCAAAGCTACACTGTCATGAGCATTTTCAGAAACACACATATTGGCCGATATACATATATATGTATGTATGCGGTATAAAGTCATCGCGAATTTCGAAAATCTAGGAGCTCAGAGAAGTACGAGTATTGACCTGATTCAACGTATTTTTGATACACAAATATACTATTTTCAGGAAAGGATTCTCTTTGAACCGAAACTTTCGGTCAAAAGTCAACTGTAGCTTGCGGGGTCTACTTATTCGGTACCTAATGATTTGTACAGTTTTGGGTCCATTTGAACAATTTTTGATTATAGTGTGGCATACCCTAAATGCATTATTTGTGCAAAGTTTTATCTCGTTATGTTTATTGCTTCTTGATTTGTACATTAAGAAGTGAAAGAATCAAATGGAATTTCAAATTGTGCTATAAGGGAAGTAGGCATAGTTGTAGTCCGATTTCACCCATTTTTGCAGTGTGACATAGGAATGTATGAAGAATGCCACGTACTGAATTTAGGTTTCGGCTCAGTTTTTATCGCAGATCTCATAAAGCCTTCTCTTACCATCTAGGATGTATAATTGTATGTTCCTGGAATATTTAGTTATTGATTTACCGCACTTTTAGCAGTTTTTAATAGTACCGTTATATGGGAAGTTAACGGGCGAATTTGATGATTATAGCTTAAGTGGTTCATTACAGTAAATCATTTAGCTGAGAGGTGTCAATTGCTAGTTTTCGATTAATGGACTCGGCTTAACTTATTTGCGAAGAAATACGTCTACAAGTATGTCTCATCATAAAACCGTGAGATGAACAAAACTCATATACTCTATAACAGGTTGCAAGAGTAAAGAGTATAGAAATATATTATTACAAGATCGTCTCTGTGTGAAATTTTCGAGAAATCGATTTTTTTTTTTTTTTTTGTGTACATCGTACAGGATCCTTTTATACTTTTCATTTATTATTATCTTTCACAATTATACACCCAATAATTAAACATAAAAAAAAATAATTTTGTATTATGATTAATTTCAACATTAAAAAAATCGTCAAAATCAGTGATTTTTCGGAGGTTCACACTGAGACGATCCCTATGAGATATGTAATTTTATATGCAAATATAGGTACTTGCTTGTATAATTTATAAACTAGACACGCTATGCATAGATACATGCTTCTTTCCGCCTAATTTAGTGTCTCAATTAAACCATACGCTTTTCCTTTCAGAATCTCCATACACGGTTGGACCGGCAAGAGCACCTCATGTTCGAACGCAGCCATCAAGGATGCCTACTTAGCGGCGGGCAAATTCAATGTAATAATGCTTGATTGGAGTGCCATATCGATGGATATTAGCTATAGACGCATTAGCCGTCAATTGCATGAAATCGCCACAAATTTGCTGGAATTCACACAATTTTTGCATCTAGTAAGTGGCGTCCCCTACGAAAGCATATATTTGGTGGGTCATAGCGCCGGGGCGCATATAGCTGGCCTAGCGGGTAAACAATTACGACCGCAACGTTACGGCGCCATCTATGCGCTCGACCCGGCCGGCCTTGTGCAGTTGCCGCTCGGCGAAGATAAACGTTTGGCACCGAACGATGCCATTTACACGGAATCCATACACACGGACATTGCGCTGCTGGGCAATCCGAGCACGAAACTTACACAGGCGGCATTCTTTGTCAATTGGGGTCTAGGCCAGCCACACTGTCCGAATGCAACGGCGGCTGAATTTGATTTCGCATGCGATCATTTTGCGGCCTTGTATTACTTTGCGGAATCGTTGAGACAGCCACGCGCCTTCGGTGCCACACAGTGCAGACGATGCAACGGCTGCGGTCTTTTCAGCAATAGTCGTATTCTGCTGGAAGAATGGGATTGTGGCTGCACAAATGCCGCCAAGACAGGTGAATGTCCGATGACCGTATTTATGGGAGGTGAACCGGCTGTGCCAAAAAACGGCACCTTCTATCTGAGCACGCGTTCTAAGCCGCAGCCATTTGGCTACGGCGAAACGGTGCGCATTAAACGCGCTGGGCCAGCCAAATACTTGCACAGCAGCTTTTTGAGTAATAAATTCGTCGGCAATCTGTTGACGAAATGGCACAACTGAGCGTAACAGCGAGCAATTAGTAAGCAAAGTCAGTGGCAGGCAATTGATTGCTAGTGATATGTATGCAAAAGTTGTGTGTGTGGTAGCGTGAAGTTGTCAGTTAGTGGTGTTAACGTGCCACAGCAAGAACTATGATTGGATTGCGTGCAAAAGAATCATAAGTACATATGTATTAAGTTGTTTATAAGAATAAGAACAAATAACGGTAAAAATTGCTTTTGTGAGTGGCACTTAATATGCCGAATTAAATTGTTTATTTATAAATGATAACAAATTTTAATTGCTACCACTTGTAATTTGGTTTAATTATGTAAGTTGCGTTTCCACATAATKGAGGTTATGTACATACATACATAGGTATAAGAACACGTATATGCATATTTTACAAAATTTTTGTTGCATGAGTTCAGAAATTAACTTTCAATACAAAAAACGCTTTAAAAGCGAAATATCTGGCATACAGATGTTGTTGTAAATATGTATAAAAAATACTGCAATCATATGTAATTTGCTCTATAAATTTGAATATAATAATAGATTTTAGGAATACAACAATGTTTATTGTTAAGAAAGACAATAAATTAAAATAATATAGTTAAAACTTTAAAAATAATTGTTTCTTGTATTAGTTCCTATTGAGGCTAAACAATCAAGCTTACTAGATGCTCAAAAAGAAGTTTCTTGGGAACTTTGTGAGGTTGTTCAGATAGTAATCATGAGTGTGAATAATACACTTTTTGAGATATGTAAGCAATTCTAAAGAAAATTAAACAGTAGAGTATAAAGATGTGCAGAGGTAACACAAAGTTAATTTATACATACAACTATATTAAGGGGTTGCATAGGTTTACGGGTTTCACAAATTAAATTTATTGCCTTATTAAATTCTACAACATCATCAATATTGTCTAAATTTTTAATTCGATGCGTTTTCATCGAAACTGTCTTTTTGAAGTCGGTTAACAAAATTTTTCTAGAACTTCTCATTCGATACACCTCTTAAAAACTTGGACGAAGGATTTTTTCAATTACAACTATTTGAAAAAAAAAATATCGCGAAATTTTCATTTCTTTTGTAAAAATGTCTGCCAATAATTCAATTTCCAGTTTTTTTCCTTCTTCCAAGTTCTAAGTTAAGGCTTTAATTAAAACTCGTATTTTTTCACTTTAGATGGATGAAGGATGGAGTCATGTGTAGAAGTTCACGCAAGTGAGGAAAGTTTTCTGATCGCCATTCACTTGAGAGGGGCCAGAAACGATTCTTTTACATATGACTCAAGCAGCTCACGACTTCCGGTCCTTGACCAAGTATCCTCTGGGTAGCCGAAGAACATCCGTTTGAAGGTGAGCTAAAGTGAGAAGGCGAAACATTCCCTGCATAGGGTTGTGCGCTGGGTTTGGGACTCGCCACGTAAAAAAACCACCCTAATGACAACGCAACAATAGCCTCGGATGAGAGACCCCACTTTTGATAACTCTTGCCAACAGGTGCTACTTCGGACTGAGTAGCCAATTGAGAAGCAAAGTAATCTCTCGACAAACAAAAACCAAACTCTATAAGTCACTCATAATTCCCGTCCTGCTATATGGTGCAGAGGCTTGGACGATGTCARCAACAGATGAGTCGACGTTGCGAGTTTTCGAGAGAAAAGTTCTGCGAAAGATTTATGGTCCTTTGCGCGTGGGCCACGGCGAATATCGCATTCGATGGAACGATAAGCAGTACGAGATATACGACGACATTGACATAGTTCAGCGAATTAAAAGACAGCGGCTACGCTGGCTAGGTCATGTTGTCCGGTTGGACGAAAACACTCCAGCTCTGAAAGTATTCCACGTAGTACTCGCCGGGGGAAGCAGAGGAAGAGGAGGACCTCCACTCCGTTGGAAGACCAAGTGTAGAAGGACCTGGCTACGCGTGGAATATCCAATTGGCGCCACGTAGCGAAAAGAAGAAACGACTGGCGCGCTGTTGTTAACTCGGCTATAATCGCGTAAGCGGTGTCTACGCCAANGCTGTACCCGCCGGGGGAAGCAGAGGAAGAGGAAGACCTCCACTCCGTTGGAAGGACCAAGTGGAGAAGGACCTGGCTACGCTTGGAATATCCAATTGACGCCACGTAGCGAAAAGAAGAAACGACTGGCGCGCTGTTGTTAACTCGGCTATAATCGCGTAAGCGGTGTCTACGCCAATCAAGAAGAAGAAGATGGTCCTGTAAGGAGTTATCCTACCAACGCAAGCGCATGTTTTTTCCAAGGGTCTATGGCTTTACTATGAGTTTAAAATAATTTTTTCCACAAATTTCAGCATTTCTTTGTTAATAGTGTTAACCCCTTAAATATATTGGAAAAAAATATTTATTTAAAAGACAATATTGAATTTTATCAAATGTTTCGATAAAAGTTTTCTACCTGCATTTATCTCGTTTTTGCTAAAAATGTTTTTAAATTTTCAAATATATTTAACCAAACAAACTGGTTAAAGATGGTTAATGAAAACTAAGGCAACTTCTATTTTTATTATGTGAATTATTTAAATCTATCCGACTTTCAAACTAACTTTTTTGATTACATAAAAAAATAGCTTTCATATCTCGATGACATACTCAGCGCCTAAAAGCACTCTAAATTTGTATATCGTGAAGAATTTTTGAATTTCAAACAATTTTAGCTTTTTGCTTTAGCAAAGAATAATATAAATAAAACAATACAAAATGGTTGAAAAGCGAGAGTTAAATAAGGCTGAGACACAGATGTGAAATTATATATCAAAAAGTAAAAAGCATAGTATTACAAATATAGTTGTTTGTAGCATATTATACTAACGGAAAAAATGTTTTACACCAACAGTTTCCTTTGCTAACTCGATGAAAAAATAAAAAACTTGCACTTACTTGACTAGGTCCGATACGGTATGTAGCTGTATCTACTTCATTAGCGGCTAAAATTTGTTCGACCGTTATGTCCTTGGCAGTGGCAGAATCAACGGCAGCCAATAAACCAAAGCGACGTACAAACTCTACCAAAGGAACTGATTCTGGGAAGCCCAAACGATGTAAGCGTGCCGCCTCGAGCACTTGCGAGCCACGCAACTGCAGCAAAAYAAATAAATGTAAGCAAAAGTAAAACAACAAACGAACATACGCGCACACTCACCTGACTACGTAACAAAGGAATATTAACCATGTCCTCGCAGCTCGACTGCAATGCAGCCGCGTTAGGCGAACCGCTCGACGAGTAGCTACTATGTTGGCCGGCATTGTGCTTCAACATGTAACAGTGTACGAAGTGGGTGCCTGTGCGGCGTAGCGTATCGATGATGCCGTCGACAGTGAATTTCACTTGCAACATTATGGAATTACGTTTTACACCGGCAGAGGTGAACGAACGACGTATGCTCGAGACGCGACGTAGCGATTGTGTGCCTTCGAGGCCGGCAATAGAGCCGCAAAATACAATGCCACCCGCGCCACGTGTTAGCGAACCAATATACAGACGACTTATCTCGTCACGTGAGCTATCTTGTAGCAGTGTTACAGCATTGCGTATGGCAGGGTGCTCACGGCTATGCCGCACCCAACCGTCGACAGTGTACAACACCGGATTGGTGCCCTGCAAATGTTGCAACACAAACTGTTTGGGGCCGGCGCATTTGCGCAACAAAGTCTGATGTTCACGATCGCCATAATGCGTAAATAAGCGCTCCAGGAATGTATCATCATTGCAGTTGGGGTACATGGACTCCTCATCGAGCAGCCAGAGCAGACCGCGACGATCATGCTCGCGCAAATCACGTTGTGAGGAGCGTACGACATGATTTTGTGGCGCCTTATCGATGAGCGATACTAACGGACCGGGATTTGTTTCCGACATGCCTTCCGTATCGATCTCGACTAGTTCCTGCGCATAGCGGTCACGCGGCGCCACCAATGTGGTATGATGAAAAAGCAACTGTAAACGCTCTTGTAGGTAATTGTGACGTAAATCAGAGAGAGTGGCACCCGTTTGCAAACCACAGCTGGCGGGATTCTGAAAGCCCGGTGTGTCCACAAGCATAATGGAAGCTATAGTATGCGCCGAAGTGCAGATTGCTTTATTTATAAGCGCCACCACGGCAGCCAACGCCTCGGAATAGAGACCGACGGCGAGTGCTTCCAGTGATTCCCAAGCCTGCTCACTACTATCATTAGGCGATTTAGAAGGGCTTGTGCCACCACCACCACCAGATGATGTTGCATTGAAAGCAGCAGCTGTTAAATCCTCCATAGAAACGCCGAGTAGGCTAGCAGTTCTACGTGCGGCTGATGGATTTGCAAACTGTACGCGAGAAGCTGGTCCAGCATTAACTGCACGAAAACAGTTGTTATATCAATTACAGAAAATTTAGCAAATAAAATTCCACACTTACGCCTTGTGACGCCTGCCAATCCAAGATGATAAATAGCCGCCAAGATGCTCCAAATGCCACGTACCGCTTTCGCTTCAATATTTAACGTTTCCAAAGCTTGCGTCGTGCGCATGAATTCGGCGGCGGCGCGATGACGCTCTTCCAATTTATGTGAGAGCGAAACGAAGGGATGATTATCCGCTGCTGAAATGTTGTCCAGATGCAGCTCCTTCTGCAGCAATCCTTCGGCGCCAGCGAGCAGACGTCCCATTATGTGGAAACTATGATCGTTGGGTTGACGTCGCCCAGCGCGTTGTCGCTCTGGCAACAGCACCTATTTGGGGAAAAACGAATTAGATTATGATGACGATTCGATTATTTATTTAACAATATATTTCTTACTTGCACCGAAGCGGAGGCGATTTGCCCACTTTGATCGAAGTCTAAACTCAACAGCTGTGTAAAGCGCGTTGCATTCGCATTGAGGCATGTCTTTGTATTGCCAAATGCTTCCAATATGATGTTGATGGAGTTGACTTTCTCGGCGTTGAGAAAGTTATTATAGGAGCCTAGAATAAGATGTGCAACCATATGAATATAAATAAGATAAAATTTTCATTGATTTCAGCATTCAATTATAAGCATAAAATTAACAGGTTTGGCAATCATATACCAAATTTTAATGGATAACTGGCCTGTAGTTTAAAAATAAGTACTTGTTAATAAAAACAATTAGGTAACCATTACATCGAATTTTGGTGTAAAACCGAGTTGTATTTCTATAAACTCGAAAATATAACTATGTTGGAAGAGTTGAGTGAAAAAATTGTAAACTCATTGTTAAGAAGTACTTCATACAAAAACAGCAATAAACTCGAGTTTAAAATACTGCACTAACCTAACAAAACATACATTTTTCATAAAGCAATAAGCAATAATAATTTTTCATAAGCAATCGAATTATTTATAAAAAAAAAAAAGTAAGTAAAAAAATATTTGAAAAAATAATTGCAAAAAATACTGATCGAATATTGAATTATAGATTTAAAAATGGCATTCCAATTATTTTCCTATCTTTAATCATACTCAAACTCAACTCGAAGTTTTTAACGAAATCAAAGCAAGTTACATATATATAAGTATTTCAGCATTCGACATATATTTACTTTTTTTATTTTTGCTGTAAAACTACTCTGTCTTTATTTTGTATGAAAATATTGAAACAATATGTGTTTAGCCTCCTGCCTCAAGCTTCGAAACGATTATTGTTGCTGAGCTTAAGTAGCATGAACACTTTTCGTGTGTGGCTCAATTGTGGGTGCAGTGCATGCAGAGTAATTAAAGCTGACCTCAAATGCAAGAAATGACTAACGATATACAAAGTACTATTGGTAAGCTTTTTATGGTGGAATTTTCGTGCGCATGCGCCCACACACAATAAGATATCATAACAGACACAATAAAAGAATTTTTTATATATTTGTCTTCAGAACAACATAGCAACCGATTCGAAGAAAGGGCGACAGAAATGTTGAGGTAAAGGCCACTTTAGTCAACTATAAGTGTTACAGAAGAATGATAAGCTATATTTCAAGACTTGAAGTTAGAAAAGCTTGGGTTCCAGCAGTAAAACGGGTCATGATACTCATTATATGTATGTCACAAAGACCGGTATTGTAATAGAAATTTTAACAGTTACATATTTATATTTAAATTTCATATGATGTATCCAGGGTATTTTAGTTAATAACAAGTTTCAGCGAAGTTAGCAATAGAGTTAGAATTTTTAAAAGAAATCTCTAAATGGATCACCCTGTACAAAGAAAACCTCCATAAATCTAAATAAAAAAAAAATTGAATTGGCATGCAAATTGGCGTTAGGTAAACAGAATTAATTACCACACCATGAAAAAAAAACAACAAAAATATTTAAACTTAAATTCACTGTCGCGCTTTGAGGCAATAATGCAGTTACTCTGCCAGGCAGCCTGCCAGTCAGCTAGTCTGCACTATAAGAGAGCACCAAATGCTATGCGTTCCGATTGGTAAGCGGCCCACATCGGGCAAACATCCAACAACGCAATAAACCAGCTCGCCAACCACGCGTTTGCACATCCCCCTCCCATGCGCCAGCGCAAGCGCGCAATGTTGCAACTAAAAAGGCAACAATTGCTGACAAGACGCATAAATACGAGTACATCCATATACATCCATACACATGCACACACACACACCCAAGGTGAATGAGAGCGCTACATACCGGCGGCCAACGCCAAATAGTATAAGGCGTGCTTGAAGCTTGTCGTCTTGCCAGAACCAGAACGTCCCATGAATATTAGACTTTGATCGCGACGCGTTTCCAACATGGCCCTGTAGGCGGTCTGCGCCAGCGAATAGATATGCGGAGGCATATCCTCCGTCTTGCAGCCGCGAAACATGGAAACAACCTGCAATAAATAACAAAGGCGAATATTAGTATTAAAACAACAACAACAATTGCCATAAACGCAAAATATAATTCAATTGCAGATATGCAAAGGTGACAACAAATAGCAAAAGTATAACACAAATATGTTATCGCTTACGCCAACTGCTGCAGCAACAGCGCGGCTGGTCAAAACATGCTCCAACCAGCCGTAGCCACTCAACAGCGTGCATCAGCGCGCGCTTAAGCCACAAGCCCAGCAGATTGTAAGGCGTTAGGCGTTCGTATGACGTCAATAAGTGCAAAACGCATACGTACCTTTTCCGAGTAGAGCGATAGCGGTGCCATTGGATTGACAACGAGCAGCGTGGGGCCCGCCTTCGTGTGTATCAAATTACTGGCGAAACGTTGACGCAAGCAATGCAACACAGACGCCTCATTCAATTGCTTCAGGTCGCAAATATCCTCGACCAGATCGAGCGCTGTTGAGTTCTGCTTCTCGATGTCATCCTCGTCGACCATCATTTCGATGCCATTATGCAGCAGGCGAATGGTGACTTTGTGATTTTCACGTTGCACGCTTGACTGGGGTAGACGTAGGGCCGCGCAGAAGCCACCACGATGGACCAGCCAAACGCGTTCGCCATCGGCATTCGCAGCGTTGGCGGCATCACCATCGGCATTATCATTGCCGGCGCCATTGTCGAGGCCTGGGTGTGCGGAGTCGTTGCTGGTGTTGTTGCCATGGCGTGGCTGCAATGAAAACATACGATAAAAACTTATTAATAATTTAAAAAAAAAAAATCAAATCTAACTTTTTCCAAAAAAATTTTTTCAATGTTCAATTTTTTAAAATTTTGCATTCTTCAGATATCGTTAACAGTGCCTAAAAGTATGCAACGGTGTATTTGTAGAGAATAGGTTAGTTTTATTATGTGCCGAAATATGCCCTAGACATTATGTGTTATGATCAAATTCATAAATCTTCTTCGACGGATCTTCAGACGTTGTGGACTTGTGTCACTATGAAATACAACTTGCAAGTGTACTAGCCTTTTGGGTCTTTCCTTAAAGCAATTTCGTTTTTTCAATGCAATTTAAACACGATATTTTATTGTTATTCAACGATTTGTATTGACCAGCCACTTTATTTCATGCACATTGGCTCAAGCTCAAAATTGCCGGGACGAAATTTTGCAAACCAATTTTGGCATACGGTAAGATGTGTTTCTCCGTACATCACATAATTTTCGTCTTGCGTGAACTGCATTTTTACCTTTAAAGACATTTGGTATTTGCCATTTTCTCCCTTAAAAAAAAAACATATTTATTCGATTATCTCTTCATATATGACTAAAAGTTCAGAAACTAAAGAACTAAAGTGAGCACATGCCGACAGGCAGGAAAAGAAACGCTAGCGAACCCATTGAGTTCCTTAAATAAGTTTCGACTTGACCAAGGATGAAATGCCACGAAATCAAACAAGCTTTAATAATTTTTTTTTTTTTTAATTTTGTTATAGAAAAACCTCTTATTATTTCAGCTAGTAAAGCTAAGTATTTACTGCACGAGGCTGCCTTGAATAGAGTAAATAAACGCTTGCTGCACCCAAACACATAAATCTGGTCGCTTTTCGCCGGTACGCATTCGTCTTCTTAATTGCTCTTGCAACATGTATGTATATAAGTTCATGTCTATACATCTCGTCGTGATTTCGGGTACTTCGATGTTTATTCTTGGCCTCACGTGTGCGATTGCAACAAACGCTACAAGCACAACAAAGATCTAAAAATGGCACAGTGCGAGCGAGCAATCAAGACGTCATCAACAGAACCGCAATAGCAAGCAACTCAACACAGTGGTATGGATCACCAAAAATGTCTCACTTGGAATAAAAATTTATTATTCCACGTTTCGATACTGCTTATGGAGGAAATTGATTAAATATTTATCAAGCAGAGCAAATATTTAACGGGTGCTGTTCTCGAAATATTCAAATTCGAAGTCTATTTATAGCGACAAAATAATTAATTTATACTTTCGAATACTTCCAATATCATTAGGCAAGGATGCTTAAGGATTTCCTCTTCCATAAATATACCTATTCTAATCGTACATTGATTACTGCAAATAAAGAAATAGCTTTTCAATGTTGAATGGAAATAACAGGCAAGATTTCTAGAATGGAAACACATTTCTTCGTTCTGGTTCAATCGACAAACTATTTCCAATAATTCCATGTTTTCAGAATATTCCTAAAGAATTTATGGATAATTTTGTGTTATAAATAATTTTTGTGTTTACAACCGGCCAAGGAAGTAAGCTAATTGCTCTCTACGTAAGCTTTCACGTTCACCCTAATACAAATATAATTACTTAAAGTTTTATGCACACTGTTTCCAGTTGCTTAACGGCCGCAAGACATCCATAACGCTGCCAATTCATAGCGACCAAAACATCACACAAACGTATACTGATTACCCCAAAATACTGCACAACCATTACTCTCCTACCGCGACCACATAGTCCACCTCACTGCCCAAATCAGCGACGGCCTGGCCTGACCACACATTCACCTTTTTGTATTATTTACACCCAAAAATTGCCTTTACTTTGCCGACGCACTTCTGTTTACATTTCATGTCTGCAACTAATTGGGAAAATATTTGAGAAACGAAATCAAATTTAGAAATGTCTAAAAATAAAGCATATACACTCGCCGGCGTGTAATGATGTTGAAATGCAGTGAGCGCAACGCGTCCGCAGCAGCTGCAACGCTAAAGAATAGAGCAACTGTGACGAAGTTGGTGGCATTTGCGTGGCATAAGATGCCGGCAGGCGTCATCAGAGCTTCAACAACACATACAAACGCACGATATAGGGGTGGTGGAAGGTAACACGGCGTCTGCTTCTATTCACCTCACAGTCCTTTGCTGCCTGCATTCCATCATAACAAATGAGGCCCTGACGTTGGTATCCTCCTGAACGTCTTTCAACCGAGCGCAGGCGGATTGTCGCACGCTCTTACCACCACACTGTCTGACTGACTTGGCCGGGAGCTCACCTGAACTAAGCGCAAGTCAATGCAAACCAACAACAAACCGAATTATTAGACGAAAATAGAAAAATGTATGCAAGAAGCTGCAGTTGTTTGCTATTGTTGTTGCCGATGTTGCTATTCGGGATATGTAAATAATTCAAGTGATTGGCGCAACACAACGGTAAATGTACTATGTACTCGCACTTATATGTGGTGTTGCCTCGAATGAATTTGCTCTAGTGCGCATTGCTTGTTCGTATTGAACAAGGCAGCCGCCAGAGGCTCTCCGTAAGTTGTGGGGTATTGTATATACTATATCATTTGGACTTATGCAAAGTTCATAGTTCAACGGCGTACCTACCTTAATACAGCTATGATTGTATTTTAATCACTAGCGTTGAAGGCGCCTGGCGTAATAAATTACAGTTCCTATTTATCAGACTATTTTAGTGTGTTATTGTTTCGTGTAAGATCGTACGTGCCTCGGCTTTGAACACAAATTTGTAGGAAGAATGTTGTAAGATTGTTCCTTTGTAATTCTGGGGAAACAATAATTTATTGCATTCCTAAGAGTTTTGGAACTGTATACATCAGTATATTATGTTTTTCTTTCCTTTTTAAAGTCGAGTTTCGATTGCCTGAACCATTTGTCACTACTGTTTGATAGGTAATGAAAAATACTTTCTTAGGAAAAAAGATGTTTTATCACTCATTTAGCTTCAGTTAGTATTATTAGTAGCATCTTGCGTATAATATGGTTTCTGATCGCCATAAATAACTTCTCTTTCGATGCAAAATTCTTTCTTAATATGGTTTGGAATGATGAAATACTGGACCTAGCCTTATTCGTCAATTAGATTACACATCTTGGATAAAATTATCAATTAGACGGTCTAAGAATTCTTGGATTTAAATGCTTATTTCTGACAAGAGCATTAATTTGACATTTGAATAAAACTTCTTATGCTTCTGAATCTTGATGGCGTTTATCGTGCTTTTCATAAGTTTCAATTGTAAGCGTCCTGACAAAAAATAATGAATATATTGTATAATTGGAGAAGGGTTGTCATTTCAGCAGTATTTCCTAAAACTTGTAGAGGGATTAATATTGCTAAAATAACAACAAAATACTAACAAATACTCAATACTGATTCAGTCAAAGAGAGGTAAACTCTGAAAATTGAAGGAAATTTTCAAAGATACTATACATCTAACTAAAATTTGAAAGTGATAACATATTATTAGTATAATTCTAAGTAATCTTTAACTATTTTTTAAATTAATATCTTTTAAGTTTTGAAAAGTGTTGTGTAATATTTTAAATAACATAAAAAACTTAGAAGGAGCATTTTTTCTTAGTAGTTTATTAATAGAAAAAACAAAATGATGAATGTATCCTTTAATTATGTACTAAGTATTGTGCCATCCACTTGCACTATGTATATTACACAAGTGACAAAGAAATGATGAATGACACGAGTACTTCGGCTGACACCAGCACTCACTTTCAGCAGACAGGTGATGACAAACACTTTGTGCGGATGAAAGAGTGTTTCTCAGTTTTAAGAAAAAGATCTAAAGAAAATTTTCAAACAAATAATTAAAAATGTTACGGGGCGACGCTAAGATTACTTTTTATATATTGGGACAAAAAAGCACCAGGAAATTGTACCATAATTAAATTCTCCGCGTAAATGATAAAAACGTGTATTTTGCTAAGTTGGTAGGACTGTCGTTAATTACAATGCTAAATAGGAGTAGTGCGTTGCGATACAATGGATAAAAATATCGAACAAAGAATTTCTCTCAAATTTTGTATTTCAAACCAATTTTCGTGTGCGAAGACATTGCAAAGGTTGGAAAATGCTTACTGTGCTTAAATTAAAAAAAAAACACAAGCCTACGAGTGGTACAAAGAATCCGAAGACGGTCTAGAGATCGTTGAAGACATGTCTCATTCCGGACGACTTTCTGATGAAAATATTAAAAAAGTGAATGGATATGTTGCAGGCAAGCCTTAGAGCGATGGTAAGAGAGTCCGTTCGAATGATTTTGATGGATTTTTGGGTATGAGATGCGTTCTTGCTCGAATCATCCCGATAAAACTGAAGTTTTTTCCAAAGGAGTTCGACTGGGATCGAATGTAAAGCCAAAAACCACCGATTTGGCTCCGCCTAATTTTTTTTTGTTACCCAAAATATTTTGTAGCCGCTCCGTGGAACCCATGTTCAATCTATCGAAGAGATAAAACAAAATTATCTTAAAGAGACGAAGGCCATCCAAAAAAGTGCTTAAAGTGTTTCGAGGACTGGAAAAATACTGTAACACAACAAGTGTTCGATTTAAATACCCCCTCAATGGTTTTTTGAAGCTGCATTTTCCCTCTAGTTTTTTGATTACAAAAGGAAAATAGAGAACTGAAATAAGATTCCAAAGTAAACAGGAACAGGAACTTCTTGAATCTAGCTCCCTCTGGTAGTGCCATCTATATGTCGAATGGTGCGTTAGAATCTGGTATCTTTATCGATTTTTCAGTGAGAATTTCACGACATTTGATTGATTGAAAGTGAAGTTATTGCGTTGTAGGTGTTAGTATGTTTGTATTATCGGTGCGAAAACGAGCTTCGAACAAAGAGCCAACATAAAATTTTGTTTTAAAATTGGTAAAACTTTTACCGAAACGTTTTAATTGATGAAACAAGTTTATGGCAAT